TATTACATCCAACACATGATATCATAGCTTTAGGACAGGTCTCATTGTGTAAATGTCGTGGCATTGCCTGATTGCACTCTCCACACGTGATTGGGAGGTCAGGACACTCATCAAGATGGTTCTTGCTTCTTATTAGCTTGTGAGCTCCTTTTCGTTTGCAATACTCACAGTTAACAATTCGTTTAGGACAGGTTTCAGTCAGATGCCTCTCCAGTGATCCTCTCCTAATCTCCTCACTACATCCCTTAGTACAAGGTACCAGTTGATAGGTACAAACTATAGTCATAATCACCACATGCTGTCCCATCACCACTGGCCATTGATAAGAGAAAGGGAAGTATGATGTCACCTTCATGGGTGATTGAAACACAGGCCAAGTGTCAACCACAAAAATTAAAACCAGAAGAAACTTATAAATAATTGTAATAAAACACATTCAATGCACTGGAACTTAATTAATATAGATGTACATGTACTTGCTATTTGTGATAAGTGTGACTCAGAAAAAAGTAAACTGCACTGTTTGGACAATGTGTCAATATCATGCAGTAAAAAGTAAAGTTCTCTCTCCTATATATAGACATGTATAAGAAAAGAAGGTACATGTACATGTATAATAATAAATGAAAGAAGATCAAGGAAACATTCAAGAAAAATGGTTTAAGAAAGAAGGTGCAAGACTGCTCATGCAGTGTAGCCACAATTGAATGATCCATGTTACTGAAGTGCTAAAGAACTATAAAGAAGGAAATCAGTTACTGTCTCTCATCTGTTTCCTTCAGTATATAGAACCTGTTTTTGGGCACTCCATTTCAAATACACAACAATGGATACAATACTCAGTGGAACAGAGAGAGAACAAGAGTATGAATGCCTAATCTCATTAAAGGGGAACATGATGACATGGTAAGTGGGCCTTTAGAGGAGCCATAATGCACAATCAGCAATATTATCAATGCCGGAGGTGTACATGTACATGTACATGAGGTTCATAATAAATTCCCAATAATTTGATATTATATAGTAATTAATAAAAACAATAAGAACATTAACATACTGTACAACTAACAATAGATATACATACACACGTGTGCTACAAATAAATGAACTAAGAGAATACGTGGGATGACAATTATTGTCTACGAACAATATTCGATGAGTTATATTTTGGTAAAACGTTAATAATGACAGGTGGTTGTTGTGTCACGTGTCAGCATCTAGAAAATCGCTAGTTCGATTCTGGCAAATGGCAATAAAATCAGCAAATTTACATGTATAAGCCTTTCCAAAATCCAAATCACCTGCTATACAACTCTCTCTCTCTCTCTTTGAATCTCACTAGGGCTGAAACGAATAGTGAGATATTCGAATATTCGTTCGTTAAAGCAATATTCGAATAGTTTTTTTACTATTCGAACTATTCGCCTAATAAAATTATTAATGGTTATTGCAATAATTAACAACCACGCCCACCGCGTGTCACCTGCACAGGCTGCTTTCTTAGTCTGTTTCTTGGTTTGTTTACTTACCAACTTGCTAAATACTGCTGCTGTGGCCAGGGAAAGTGGTTCTCAATCTCTAAGAAGCCCTGTTTGTCATCATTTTGAAAAGTTTAACACCAAAAAGGTAGTTTATAATCATTCAGCAATAACAGTTCAATTATTCGAATATTCGTTCGTTTAGCATGCCAATTATTCGAATAGTGGAAAATACTATTCGTTTCAGCCCTAAATCTCACTTTTCATAAAGCTGATCAAATTCATCTCCCCATGTCTCATAGAGGCCAGGACATTCATCAGGACACATCAGTGACCACATACCATCAGACTCAACCCTCCTCATGAATAGATCAGGAGTCCAAAGGGCATAGAAAAGGTCACGAGCTCTCTAAAAAGAGAAAGAGTGAGAGAAGGTTTGATACACTGTTCTATTCACTACATGAAGAGTTGCATAAAAGGCACCCTACGGTATTAGAGTTACATGTACATGCAGACTTGTTATAATAGTATTATATACCAGTGCTACAATAGTGATGTAGAAACTAGTGTTTTATACAGTATAGCTGGAAATATTTGCTGGAATTTAATTTTGCTGTTTGCTGTTCATCATAAAAACGTATAATTTAATTTCGCAAAGCATTATAAGTAATGGGCGTATCAACAGTACACGCCTACACCAGCAAAATTAAATTCCCACAAACATTAAAATTAACTACCGTATAGCGGAAAATTTTCGTGGCCCAAAATTTTCGTGGATCCGTCCAAAAATCAATTTCGTGGCTTTAATTTTCATGGTTTTCTACAATTCGGCCATCTTAAACCATATAAAATCGATTTTTGCAGATTTTATTTTTGTGGGTTTTGAAAAAAATGCGAAATCCACGAAAATTTTCCGCTATACGGTATATGGGTACAAAATCACAAAATATAATTCCCACAAATTTTTCCAGCTATACGGTATTGATGTACATGTACCAATACCATATCATTAGTTTAATAGGAAGAGGTATACTCACTTGTTCCTCTTTGCCATGATTCTTTCTCAAGTCAAGAAACCCTATGATGTCAGCATGCCAAGGCTCAATGTATATAGCGAAAGCACCTGGTCTCTGAACAAGAGAGGGAGAGAGTCAGTATATGTAGATTAGGATTTTAATAATATACATGCATGCATGTACATGTAATGTACAAATGCTCCAATATGCTAAAATAAAAAAATCTACTGGCACTTTTGATTTTATAGTACATGTATGTATATGTAGCATAGACAATTTTGATCAAAATATTTCTACATAACATAAAACATGTATCAGAAACATGGTCCAAGAGCCGATACACTAAAACATTATAATTATAATACCCATAATCCTGTGGACTATCCTGATGATTAGTCACACACACACACACACACACACACACACACACACACACACACACACACACACACACACACACACACACACACACACACACACACACACACACACGCACACGCACACACACACACACACACACGCACGCACACACACACACACACACACACACACGCAATACCTTATTCCCTCCTTGATCAACATATCTTGCTGTGTTGTTAAAAACCCTCAGCATTGGTACCAGGCCATTAGAAGTGCCATTGGTGCCAGCAATATAACTACCAGACGATCGTATCTTGTGAACAGCTAGACCAATACCCCCGGCACTCTTTGATATATTGGCACATCTCTTCAAGGTATCATATATACCCTCTATGGAGTCGTCGGCCATTGTGAGGAGGAAACAGGAGGAGAGCTGAGGACGACAAGTACCAGAATTGAACAATGTCGGTGAAGCATGAGTGAACCAACGCTCAGACATCAGGTTATAGGTCTAAACAAAGATGAGATAATAATAATGTACATGTACATGTAATAATGTATGTACAGGTACTCAAGTACACTCTATTGTACTGTGTGGGAGGTTTTTCCTGTGAGCGATAATTTTCAATAAATGATTTGAATACACAATTAATCTTCACAAGTTTTTTATACAGCCATCTTGTGCTGGACAAAATTGATTCTTATAAAAAATTCAATTTTCAAAAATCTGTAAAATTTGGTATCCTTGGACAAAAAAACAACCATACAAAAGGCATACAGTACATATAGCTAGTTGACACCGATAAAGGCAGGATGTGATATGTGCTTTAAATCTACTGTTTACCTCAATGGCTTTATCAAGGTTGTTGCCATGAATACCAACGGAAACACGCATCAACATGTGCTGTGGTCTCTCGGCAACTACAAGTACAATAATAATGACAACAAAATCAAGAGAGAGAGAGAGAGAGGAATTTACCTTTTCCATTGATCTTCAACAAGTAAGACCTTTCCAATGTCTACAGAAAAACAAAAAGCAATGAACAGAAATAATCAAAATACATGTACAATTTTCATTGTATATTACAAAAGTTGGAGAATTATGTTCAAGCGCACAAAATCACAAGATCAGTTCTTTGAAAATGTGAGTGAAGACACTTGTTACTATTAATAGATTGGCAGTAATCTATTTTTTAGATTGCTGTGCGGCTGATTAAAACCACACCTACTAGAATCTTAGAGTGGGATGGGGAACATATCAGCCAAATTGAGCCAATGGCAAAAACGGTAGAACAAAAACACTGAGAAATGACTCACTTTAAAGCCAAAATAAGAATAATCATAATCACGATTGTACAGTATGGCAGAATTAAGTTTCTATAGAGAAGAGGAGAAACAGAGACAGACAGAGGAAAAAGGAAGAGAAGAGAGGATAATGAAATTGAAAATATGAACAAGATGAGAGATACTGTATAAGAGGATTTGTTGATAGGAGTTTTCTTTGGTGGTTTTGTGATGGCTGGCTTATTGGCAGATTTAATATTGGCAATTTTTTACAATTTAATTATATCCCCACCCTTAGGCGGGGATTTATTATTTATTTAAGCGATTGTCATTCGTGGACAACATATTAGAGAAAGATGGTACCTTTTCTGGAAGATTGTGTTCTTTATCACCTGGTTTAGAGACTGGCTTAAGCAAACATATGTAGTAAAGCCATAATAGTTAGCTGCTTTTAACCATGCTTTTAACTAAAACTAATGTGGGTGTGGTCACACGCATAAATGGAATTATTGCTTGCGGATTTAATTATGGTGTTTAAATCCGTCAATCCACCAATATAAAATCCCCGTTAACATTTCATCTTATACAGTACATAGTAATGTACAACAGATTAAACTCACATCAGCATTATCTTGAATTATTTTGTTTGTCTCTGCTGATATCATAGGACAGTGACGGCCATTCTTAGGATTAACATAATCATAGAGATCCTGCATGACAGCTATAACAGAGAGAGAGAGAGAGAGAGAGATTCAAACATACATGTACGTAATTATTATAGCCCATTATGATCTGTGCCAACTGGCTCAATTCTACACATGTACTATGGACATACATGTACTTCTACCATGCCACCTTGCGATTGACCAATCAGATTGCAGTATTGGAGGTCAATTATTTTTCTTCTACCATGCCACCTTGCGATTGACCAATCAGATTGCAGTATTGGAGGTCAATTATTTTTCATTATTAACCTAGCTCGTAAAAATATAAACCTATCTCGTTGAATAATTACCGTAGGTCGGGTTATATTCGCGGCTGCTAATATTCACGGTCATAAAAACTAATAAAGAAGTTTAATTAAATACCATGGAAACAAATTGATTGTTGCTATGACAATTGACCACGTGTTTATACAATTACAGTGTTCAGTAGCTAATTAGCTATTCTTGAGCAGTTAGAGTAGAGCCATCCAGACTCCAGTTCTCTATCTGTTATCTTCTTGTATAGATGGACCGCTACCTTCGAGTTCTTCGCTACAAAATCACTGCTGGTCGGTCGGTCATGATTATAAACCACACCCAAGTTAATAAAACACTAACAAGAATGGGTGGAGAGTCCCAAGACACGGCGAGGCAGAGCGAGTAGAGTATTTCTGAAAAGAACTGGCTAAAGCAACTTCAAAGAGTCCAGGGAATAGTAACAGCAAGAACACTGCAATTGAGTGCTGTGCTTCAATAACACGCCGTTTTCAATTAAAATAGCATCTAGTTGCTATGGCAATTGCTGCCGTGGGAAAAAATCGCGAATATTAGCAGCCGCGAATATAACCCGACCTACGGTAATTGATTGGCAGTTTGGTACTCTACGCTTATGCTCTTATTAGTCCATTTGTCAAGTTTGGTTGATTCTTTACTGGCCTAGCCTGTTAGATATATTGTATGTATGTCAACTGTGGTCTTATTATCAGCAGCTGGTAGTTGTTTTTCAAGTGTCATGGTAGAAGTTGGTTATACACCTCAGTATCGGTTTCTATGGTATTTATTAACCTCGCGACTGCGTCCCTCGGTTAATAAATACCATAGAAACCTCTACCTCGGTGTATAACCTATACATGTATGACCATGCAAAAACTATAAAGAAAGAATTTCCTAATTACATGTACATGTATAACATGGAACTATCGGCAGGCAATTAATGTTGATTGATACATGCACCGTAATTGGTAGTGTAGCAAACATCCACTAATATAAAATTCACGCACCAGTGCCACCACTTGGATCCTTTCTGAGCAACCTCAATGACATGCGGCTACTATATTACATGTAAACCAATTGTAAAAATTTAAAGTCACCAAATAAAACTCCCATCAATATTTCTGGCTAGTATACTATATAGAATATGTAAAAAAAAATGGCAGCACTAATTTTTAAATTTGAAGAATCAAAATTCATATAGACCTCCTTAGGTAAGATTGATGGTAGCCTATCATTATTCCCTATTATGATATCCACCTACGGGTAGTAACTGGCTGTCGTTTCAGACAGCAAGATTGATGAAGAAAGACCAAAACTGATCCTATTCGATGGTATGGAGCTTTCCTAAGCTACAAAAGCTGGTTGGAGGAAAGGATGATTGCTGATAAGCATCTCTTATAATTAATTACGTACAATATGAAGTATATTCTCTACTATAGCTTATTCTCTATTATAGAGATTGCTTTCTACATTAGCTCATTCATACTCCATAAAAATTTGCCGTCCACAAAAACTATTTCAGAGTCAATTCAGACTCAGTCACACCCCTTGCCGTATAGCATTCTTTTATAATAATAATAATAATAATAATAATAAATTCTAACCCCAAGTAGAGGCCTATAAATTACATACACACACCAAAAGTAGGTGTGTCAAGTTGCTGTCCCGCCCACCACTACTCACCAGAGAAACATTTCTTTGTTTCTTTGTGAAGGTTCGACACAGCAATACGAGCAGCAAGAATAGCATAGTCAGGATGCTTTGTGGTCATAGAGGCGGCCGTCTCTGCTGCAAGAGTGTCCAGTTCTGAAGTAGTCACACCAGCATACACGCCATTAATGACCTTCATGGTAATAGTGACCTGTAAGAGGTAAAAAGAGGAATTAATGAAGCTTTCTTTTCTTACTGGCTCGACGAAGTCATTATTGAGGTTGTAGCAGAGTTTGGTGATTCTAGAAGTGATCTTGTCAAACATGACGCCCTCTTCCCTCCCATCTATAAAGGAGGAAAATAACAATTGGTGAGATTATGGATGTTCTACTTGCCTCTTTTGATGACATACATACGGGAAGACATGTTTTTGAATGAAATGAAAGCAAAAAAAAAGAAACAAATTAAACCAAAATCGAGACCAAGATTTCCCTCCAAGAAGAAAGGCGCCACAAATTACTGAGCATGCGCAGTAAAAGGTAGGCGATACCACATACTCGTAATTATTCTATACCAGTGCCAGGCCTGCAGGTTTGAGTATCAGTCAATTTTGACCCCCCCCCCCCGTTTGACGCCCACGAGCTGGGGGTCATTTATGAATTTGACTGAGAGTGAGTGCTCAATGCATTATCATAGACACTACAGTAAAAAGATAGTTTACATTCTTGGCTAGAACTCCAATTTAATAGTGAACTATCATCAAAACCCGCTCACTGTCTCCAATGCATGCTGTTAATGGATTTACACAATAATGCATCAGGCAATAGGCATAAACAAAATGAGTTTGAATGACTTCATTATGTAACTGTTTCATTTGAGCCCACTGAAGTTGTGTTCTTCAGTGTAAAATAACTGTTTTGTTGAAATGATCAGTAAATCATAATTGTCGAGACTCTTTGTGTGATAAAATTTTCATTGTACGTTGTAACATCATCATTAACATTATTAATATCAATACAATTGAAATAGTTAAATACAAAAAAATATACAAATTAATTAGGTAAAGGATTTTAAAACTTTGCCAGTGATGTGGTTAAAAGCACGATAACAAAAGTAGACATTACTATCATCATCATCATCTTCTTCAGCATCCTCCACTTCAAGATGATGTTTCTTAGATGCATGATACATCCCATCAGTATCACTCTCTGAATTAAATGATGGTACAATTGAACGTTGAGGACGGCCACTGTTGATCCTTTCTTCATTTGCACGATACCTATATTAAAAGTAAAACAGAGGACTGATTGTTGTAATTGTTATAATTTCAATTTCATTCTGCCATTTCAATCAACTACATTAATTACTGCAAGTAGTGTATGCATGAAACCATGGTATAGTGCTCAGCACCTTTCCAGTACATTTTGAATTTGACAAAGTCATAATTATACTCACTATAAGACTGAGACAATTTTTCTGATGCATATATGCAATAATGCATGCATATTCTTGTGTTGCATAGAAATTTTGAGCTAATTTCAATCAAAAATGGATTTTTATGAATTAAAGTTACTCAAAAATTTCCAAAGCCAAATTTTGTCAAAAATGGCTAGATGAGATTCCATTTTGACAAGACACCTACGGTGCGTGGCCTCGCCCCTATAGCTGTTTGATTATCAAAATTAAAAGAACTTTAACATGCAAATTGCATGTATAAAACAAGTGTACTCCTGAGGGATAACAGCTACAGTAGCTTGCATAGATCTACCAGACTACCTGCAGAAGTGGCAGCATGCAAGCTAATCCAGCCACTCCCAAATTGGAGGTGTGGCATGACATCAATTAATTATTTGATGGCAGCAAGCCCTGGAACAAGAAGGAAGTTTCAGATTTTTCTCTTCTTATAAGCACTATATGACATTATAATGGCACAAATACTCTTGCCTAGATGTAAACTGAGTGATTTGAGAGAGTTTAGGACCTTTAGACTACTACAGTTCACTCGGGTTGATATTCAAGAAGCTATAACTCACTAACAAGAAAGATTCAAAGAGTCCCACACATATTAAAACAATAACTAGTCTTGATCTACTGGAAAAGAGTCTCATTTACCTCCAGAGTACTACTGCTATTGCTGGGCATTTTCTCGTGAATTAAAAAGCTTCTACTAGCTAGAGCTGCTCTCTAAACATCTCAAGGCATTAAAGCAAGACTTTTCCTAACAGAAGAGAAGCTTTCACAGATTTAGAGTGCGCGATTGTAAAGATATACATTCTCAAAGACCAAATATAGTACACAGAATGAATGAATGACACACAGACAGACAAACCGAGTACCGAGTCCTCGCCTACGCAAAGCTGGGCGAGGCCAATAATTCTTTCTGATACATTATACATGTTCGTATGTTGTATAGCAAATTTGAGCTGATTACAATCATAATTGCATTTTTTATGAATAAAGTTGCTTTAAAAGGTATCAGTGCTTGTCAGATATAGCTCACTTAGCATGCTTTGTGGAATATGCATACATGATCTTCAAGTCTTGCAGTTAAGAGTTACTATTAACTTTTAAGTTCTGGCTTTGGGTATGGCAAATTGAAAAAAATAAATTACCTGCAATATTCAGTGAACCCTAACACCTTGCTTTTGCCATCAATGCAGGCAACACCAATATCATCATGATGCTGAGAGGCCATTAGTTCAGTCTGATAAAAAGTAACAATGATTACATTAGTATAATAGTTGCATATGCTTACAGGATAAAAAAGTACTGCAATATGCTGTTCTACATCATCTGGGCGATAGTACCAAAATACAGTGAGATTAATACCATCTAGGATAATAAAGAAACACTTCAACTATACAAGGAAGAGAACTAATTAGCTTTACCCGATTCTTGCCAGATACTCCCAACTTTAGCCACATAAGGAACATCAGACTTCTTGTGTCCTGATCGTACAGTAATGCTGTCTCTCACAAAAACTCTCTACATAATTAGAAGCATACACATTTAATGTAACAAGGTGGACATACAAAAAGATGCTATAACGGTTTACAGTACCCTATCAGTATGAAAAAGTGCATGCATGGTGCAGTACATTACTGCAGCAATCTGTAGGAATATACTAAGCTATGCCATTGTATTAAATAGAGGCCATTTGGAAAGTAAACTTTTGCAGCTTTGTGCTCAATTCTTTAAACTAATGGCATTTCTTAAATCTTGCAGTGTCCACATATATACTCCTACAATGATGATACTCAATAGACACCATGTTTACAAAGAAAATCATTATAGAAGAGCTATAACATCAATTGAGATGTACATCTGTTTAAGATCACCTGACTTGCAATTACCTCATCTTTCCTTTGAATTCCAATAAAATATTTCCTTTCATGTTTTCCTCCACCCTATATTACAATCAAAAAAGCTTTACTCCAGCATCTATACACATACTTTGTGCCTAATTTCAATGCTCTTAACAGGATCACCAATTACAGTCCATCCATTGTCACCCTTTCAATAATTGCAGAAGGATAATGTACATAATATACAGCAATGGCAAATAAGTATACCTTTCTTGGTCTTTTTTTGCTAATCGGCTTTTCCAGTATTCTGGACCTTAAATTATGAGCTTCGTAGCACCTTTTTGGAACAATTGGTGGAATGAATAAAGGAGGAAGGTGGCCTTCAGTAGTGAAATAAGTAAATGATCTAGAATGAATAGTGTCACTGTTATACAATAACCCTAAACAGTTATAAGGTGGATCTTGACTTGATTCAAAACTATAATATCTCCCTGATGATGGCAACTCTTCATGATCATCATTTGAACTTGATACTGATTCCACATCAGAGTCTTGACTGGCACTCTGCAAGGAAGACTCATGGGAAGAACCAGTGCTTCCCACTGCAGGGCCAGGTTGCATGACTGATGAAGTTGCAGTCTGCTTTGTGTTGTTAGTTGACCTCAAATTTTTTTTCTTGCTGTTATTCTGATTGGAGTTGCCTGGCTGCTCACTAGGTGACCTCTTTCCCAAAATGCTATCTGATTCTGATGATTCACCAATACAGAGAACATTCCTCAGCTCAGTTTCTCTTTTCTTGGTCAAATACTCATATCCCATGATGGCATGGACACATGCTCGTGCATTCACAGCAGCTATTCTCTGAATATAAGTGTTAGATTTTGGCTTATTAACTCTACGAACAGGAGGCTTGTTGATAAGGGGAGATGAGGTTAACTGATGAGATGCAGTACCATTGGGTGGACTTAAGGATGATGCTTCTCCAATTTTTCTTTGCTGGGCCTTTCTTACATCAACAACCTGAACATAAGAATCTTTCATCTGAATATGTGTTGGTGACGTAGTTGGCGCGCTTTGATATGACAATTTTGAAGGGCTTGTTGATGCAGGTAACACTCCTTCATGACTCGTACCATTGTGCACCTGGCCATTGATACTATCATCACTAGAGCTTGTTGGGAAAACCCTGTCTCCTGCATCATGTCCATTCAAGGAAGTAGTAGAAGACTTCTGTCCACTCCCATAATCTGAACTATACACAAGTTTAGTTCTAGCTTCAGCATTAACACTTGCCATTCTACGGATACTGTTGCCTGTAGAGATGCCGGTGTAAGCCTGAGCTGCCTCTTTAGGGCCAGACGGTAGTATACTCTTAAGCCGGGAATGAATGTAGTGCTCATTCCCGGTAGTCGTGTAAACTAGATTGGCTGTTGGAAACAATTTCCCTCTATTATCAAGCACTAAAGTTTTTACAGCAGGAGCTATTGGCCTCAATGGTCTCTGGCGTCTAGGACCACTTGTACTTGTAAACATTTCTCTATGACCCTGAATTAAAAAACTAATTATACTGAACAAGAACTAAGCCTACTAGTATAGACAGATATGGAGTGATTTGGTGCCGAGAGCTATTACCGTCTTGTGGCGAATCAAATACGATGAATATCTAAAGCTATGAAAATATAAGTGTAAAACAAGGGTATATCCACTACTAACTCACCTTAGAGGTACAATACAAAGGCTAGACAAGGGTCAATGGGTGAAGAAGGGCTCAACCTCGTCGCTGCGCGATGTACGTGGCTAAAAATATAATCTGTTATCCCAAAATGACGTCACCTTTCCGTATAATATCGGGTCACTACCGTAAAACATATGGGCGTGGCAAGTGAGTAATTTTATTTTTTTGCTTTTACTTCTATTTTTATTTTAATTTTTTATTGTACCATAGGTTGCTCAAATGTCATTGTTGAGGTGTTTCAAGCCTGTGCCAAGGGCTTTTTACACTTTGACATCAATTAATAATTATCACACAGGGATTCAAACAGTATGCATGGCTGGGCATAATAGGTGGTCAAAAATCAAACGACCTAAAGCAATAGCTGATTTAGAAAGGAGCAAGGAGTTGTCAAAGTTTAGCAAAGAGATACAGACTGCAATTAAAGTAGAAGGTGACAGCAATCCAGAAACAAACAAACGACTTGCAGCAATTGTATTACGTGCTCGTTCAGCTAACGTTTCAAAAACAGGAATAGAAAGAGCGATTGAAAGTGGTATTAAAAAATTGAAAAGTCAGGACACTCACATATATGAAGCTAAGGGCCCATCTGGATATGCCATGATCATTGAAGCTGAAACGAGTGAAAAGGAGAGAACTAAAGGAGAATTAAAAAAAATACTCAGCCGTCAAGGGTCAGTAAACCAACTTGTATCATATTATGATGAATTGGAGTTTTCTACAATGTTAAAAATGAATGTAGATCTATGATGTGCATGGATTAAGTTATATAATGTCTAATTTTGTGTATCATACATTCCCTCAATTTAATTTTTTCCGGCATTTTCTATTATTAGGGGATCTCTGAGTGAACCAAAGACCATGTTGTTTTTGTTTGATCAAAAAGGTTTTGTGATGGTTTCAAAAGACAGCCTGACAGAAGATTGTGATCTCCTTGAAGTGGCTATTGAAATTGGAGCAGAAGATGTCAAGGAAGAATTGAATAGTGAGGAGGCAGAAGAAGAGGACGAAGTTTGTTTTGTGTGTGAGTCTAAGGTATATATACTTTAGTTAAATCTAAGTGTACTTTCCAATCATGCAGTTTGAAGCCCAACATACACGGAGCAACATGTTGAATGCAACATCAAAGCAACATGTTGTATTCAACATGTTTCCTTGTGTATGATAGCAAATTTGCTGCATGCAACCGCATCCAAGCAACATCCAGGCAACATGTTGCTTCAAGTTGAAAAATTTCAACTTCAAGCAACATGTTACTTCAAAACATCAAAGGTAACTAGGCAACACATAAGGAATACAATAATAACTTCAGCCTTTTATCATAATAATAATTATTATAAAAATAGCAAGCAACATGTTTCCCCTTTTGTTCAACAGTGTGCAACATGTTGCTGATATTGCATTCAACATGTTGCCCCATGTATGTTGGGCTTTATAGTGAAGTTCATTAATTTATTTTACATTTTATACTAGGATTTAGAGTCAGTAAAAGCAGCAGCTGAAGAGAAAGAACTGGAAGTAACACAGTCCTATATTAGTTACGTGCCACACACAGTCACCAATCTGTCACCTTCAGATATTGGCAATGCAAAAGTCATGCTTACAAAACTAAATGAACACCCACAAGTCATTAGAGTGCACACAAACATTGAAAAATAAAAAAAGATTTCAAATTGACATGTCTATTGCAAAGTGAAAAAGATAAATAATAATAATAATAATAATAATAATAATAATAGTAACATAATAATAATTAGTATAATTCAACAAAAATAATACATACAAATTACATTATAAGTAATGTAAGAAAGTATAACAAAAATAATTATTTATTTCTATAATAATAGTAATAAGTTCCCAATGTCCAGAGAGAAATGGTTAAGTATAGTTCAGATACACAGGAAGAAGTAGTAGTATAAAATACTAAAGACTTTCTAAAGACTGACAACATTTTCAACAAATGTGACCATGTACACATACTAAAACTAAAATTCAAGCAGAGTAGAACAGGACATGAGAATAAAGAGGGTGATGTGAGTGTGAAACAAAGAGGATTATATTATTGTGAGTGAACGTGGTAGGCCTCCTCTGAAACCAATATATAAAGATTAGAAGGACCTGAAGCATCATCTGCTTGTTTCGTTTCAATGATGATTGTGCTACAAAAAAAGGAGAATGTCTCATTATACAACATATTCTGCCTACCCATGTGATCCTAATAAATGGAATACTTTAGAACTATCTGCAACTTCAGCAGTGACTTGTTGAGTTATTAGTGATTTTCCCTGCATTCCATGTTTATGAAAGCTAAGAACACAATTCTGCAGATAAACTAGATGAACAGAAATAAACATGAAATCCACTCAACACAATAAAATAAATAATACTGCATTATGCCATATTGTATAATAACTGGATGCAATATACATGTAATTGCTGCATATAGCATCACTGACCCATTGACTCTGTCTTCTTATCAAAGTATATCTGTGAAGCTTGTTTCCCACTTGGTTTCATAGTTCCATTTAGATCAACAAATTTAGCACAGACTGTATACAATTATGTTAAGAAAATGTTTGATAATATTACAGTCTTAGTCATGTGCATGCTTGCATGGTCCTATAGACATGCACACTGATTACCAGTACATGGCAAAATTTCAATATGTTGCATAACAATGCATAAGAGTACATGATGCACTCTTAAATTGGTATGCATAATGATGCTGGTTTTGAAAATGAACCATTTTGGGAAAACCACAAATGTGAATTACATGTACTTTCTGGTGTATGGTACTATAATGGTATAGGATACATTGGCTAGCTACAAAGATGGTGTCTTTCTCCAATTGCTGCAGTTCAATGATTTCATCATTGCTAAAACTGTCAAACCAACAGGAATTAGAATTGATATTAATAGCATTAAACTGAACATTACCGCCTTCACTGTATCATAGAAAATAGAGAACAAGAACATGCAAGCAAGTTAAATACACATCAATATTCAATAATGACACACTTACCTTTCTCTAACTCCAACACATACACTGGGGTATTCATCATTCTCAATAACAAAAGCCTCAAACATGTTAAGAGGACTAGGCAGTGAACACTCAAACAGTTTGACATGCATGAAAGCATGGCGGGGCTGATACCACTGCATCACTAATATCCCCTTGGGCACAGCGGCCAGTAAGTATCTTTGATCAGAGAATGGATTACGAGCTGCATGAAGAAGAATATCAAAATTAAAAATCAATAATTATTTTCTATTCACAAGCCAATAATGTATACTTGTTTCTTGTACAGTCTTACTTACCAATACTGCACTTGTAGCATCCTTTAGAATCATGGATCTTAGATGTGTGACTTCGATTTCTAAATGAAAAAGTACATTCTGTTAATAACACAATAAGTAGAAAAGGTCTTAATTAACTATACACGTATGAGAGGTAATTAACCTTTGCAATGGATTACAGACTGCTATATAGATTCTTACGTGTATAGGATGACCTAATATCCTCTTTTCTGTCACATAAAGAGAAGTGTGTATGCAATCTAGTATACAATCTACATTTTAATTACTATGACTAAAATAGAGTAATGCATGTACATAAACAATACACATCATGTGATATGCACATGTACTGTAAATATACATCATGTATGCATTAAATTAATCATCTCTAAAATGCAGTTTTCATACATAAAAGTAATACATGTACTTATGTATACATAGCCACACACAAAAAATTGAAGTTTGTATCATGATTAAGAGATAACTGAAATGCAGCCAAACAATACATTTTAAATACAACATTGATTACAGTACATGTACAATCTATGCACATTAGCTTGTATCAAATAAGAAGCCCAGCCCAGCCTCTTATAAATGCTACACAATAATAGTTATTATTGGTTTATTACATTGACTTATTTAGTCTAATATCATTAATCAATATAATCATTTGTTGTAACAACACTACAAAGCATGATTAACCAGCAAAGTATAATAAGCCAATACACATCAGAAACCATACATTATGCATCAAAGTATACATGTAGATACTATAGGATGCCACTCCTCCTATTTCCCTTTCCATCCCTCATATTAAGTGTCACTTTCCTACTAGGAAAGTGATATAAATTGAGAGGATGACTGCAATTCTAAAATCATAGCGGGATTTAACCCTATACAATTACCATATACCGGTTTATTTTTGCCATCAAATATTTTCACAAATCCTAAATTTCTAGCATTTCAGGGAAAAAAATTCTTGAATAGCTCGCAAACTGCACCACGAGTCAATGAAGATGCAGATTTTCACAACTTTAATTTTTTGTGACTAAACAAAAACCCATAAAACTTGTGAAAATACTTTACCATAAAAATAAACCAGTATACAATAGCCTAATAGCAAATAGCAGGATAACATTATCACTGTCAGTTGGTATAAAAGAGTGTGTCTTAGATCACAGCCACTTCACATTGGATCTACTACTCCTTCACTAGGCATATCAGCCCTAACTTAGTAAACATTTTACATGTACATATTCATGTACAAGTAATAAAGTTTGCATGTAACAGGGTTCTGCCTACAAAAAAATTAGAGGTGGTGGGAGACTAATATTGTTCCTTTTAAATTTATGTACACCATACTAGTAGACTATGATATCATGCTTTATGTATGGTTATTAGTATTAGTTGCATGCATGGTTGGTCTAAGTGATGAACTGATTGGTTCATTTGTTAAGGAGGTTGTCCCAACCACCCCTGACCACCATAGGCAGAACTATGATGTAATACTTTAACTCTACATTACATATACATGTAGAAGCATTACCTGTGACCAGGTGCCTTCTGTGACTCACTCTGAAACAACTGGATCAGATTTGTCATAGAAATCATGTGATTGGTTCCTAAAAGTGTTCCAATTAATGCACACTCACATCCTCTCCTCATTCCTACCTGATAGCCATATTAGTACATTCTCAACAACACGAAGCCAGTGACAGCTCCTTGGTGACACCTATAGCAATCAAATTTGAAATAACAATGGTATTATACACATCTAATATGGTAAAACTCACATATACAATACTAATGTACTTGTAACAATGGTAATAGGCAAATTTACAATGGTAGCACAAAAATATACAATTGAAACACATACACATAACTACATGTATGCTAATACACACATCTCTAATGGTAAGACACTTATACATGTACATGTATATAATGGTGGGTGAGATTGAGAACTCATGAATGTTACCTGTTCCATGACTGGGTCTTGTTGAGTGTTGGCTTGAAGTGAAAATAATCCTTCCTCAGCTCCCAATAGCACATAATAGTCTACATTTTTAATTAATTGTAAAAATTAATTATCAAAATACATTGTATCAGGAAAAATTTCTGTATTGCATTTCTAAAATCCTGCTAATCATAAATAAGCATGCACCACATGATCATGAAAATGCAGAATTTTGGCATTTCAAAAATGATGCAAAATCCTGAAATTTACAAAAATTAAGCAGTGCAAATGTTTACATGTACATGTACCTGTACATTATGATACATTTAAAGTTTGTGCAAGACGTTAATTAGTATATACTTCATGCTATGTAAACATGACATCAGTTTAGGGTTTCCCACAGGATTTTGGCAAAGCGCTCTTGACAGTAAATTTGCTCCAAAATTTGCGACATAATACAGGGTATTTTGTCTAGGAGAGAAGTCTCCATTTTTTATATTTTTCCTAATACATGTATGTACTTAATGTACATTTACGTTGTGTAGAAGGTTTGACCTAATATTGAATTTTTATCTTACAAATATTTAAGTTGCTCAAAAACTGGTCAAATACCCTGTACTACTACCGTATAGTACATGTGCATGGTCTTGGGCCAAATTTTGTCAAAAATTGAAAGGAGGAAATTCTCCGATTCTATAATTTTTATTGATTATAATATATACGTTTTTAAGCTGTGTAGAAATTTTTAGCTTATTCTAATCAAAATTAAATTTTCTATAAATTTTCTAAGCTGCTCCAAAAGCCATACTCACTGTTGTGGTGCTTGTCAGCTCATGAAGCTCATGCTGTTTAGCTAACTTAACATGCTTTGTGGGAAACCCTAGACAACATTTAGTTTACCAAACGCATGTAAGTCCATATATTTACAGGGTTCTATCCAGTGGGGGGCAGGGGGAAGCTTCTCCCCCAAACTCTTCATCTTCCTCCCCAAAACTTCAAGCTTCCCCCGTGTACTTCTGTAACTGCATGCATGTATTGTACATGTACATGTACATACATGTATGTACACAACCTTCCCCCTGGTCAACTGCTCCGGGCTTCCCCCCCCCCAAACAAAATTCCTAGATAGAACCCTGATTTAAGTGTAGTACAGAAATACTCATAAAAATAAGTGTACATGTGCATGTACATGTGCATGGCAGGAAGGTCATACCGTAGGGTGCCTTTTTTTAGGGCTGTAAATTTCACAAATTTGCCTAAAATCTATTTTGCGGATTTAATTTTCGCAAATTTATGCTGTCTGCCATCTTTTACCATAATAATTTGATTTCACGGAAGTACATGTAATTTTCACAAATCTTTTAAAAATCGCGAAATCTGCAAAATTTACAACTCTAAAAAAGGCATCCTATGGTATACAATGCAACATTGTACATACATGTACATGTACTCACTTTGATTATGTGGATGAGTCCAAGAAGTGGCACAGTGTAATTTTAACGGGCAACCGTTGAATATTTTAGAAAAGTAGGCTCTTCCCTCTGTCGACTGTTTCTTATGGATTGAGGGCTTTGATGATGGACGAGGAGGAACAGCAGGAGGAGTTGGGTTAGTCGGTGTGACCGTCTCTTGAGGAGGCCGGTTTCTCGGAGGTACCGGGGGATTACTTGGTCCAACGTTTCCATAGACATGAGGCGAATTGTTATCATCAGGTAGAGGAATGGGTACTCTTGATATCCTTGAGGAAGAGGTACCGCGAGGAGGCACGGGGGGAGCAACTGGCGTCCTGTCAGCAGGAGGAGGAGTAAGAGAGTCTTCAGGCGACTGATATATTGAATCAACACTAGAGGGGGAGAGGAGGGAAAGATGAAAACAAACAGGTGTAGTAGTGTAAAAAAAATATTCCCATAATTGTTTTCACCACCTTGCATGTACAATTGTACATGTATGCTAGGTTCTTATTAAGACTTATAAAGAGTCTTCTGGAGAGCTTCTAGGCTAGGCTATGTTCTCTTGCTCAAAACTTTTCCTACAGTATGTGCCAGTCGCCATTTTTTGCCATGGCAAAAAAATTGTGGGCATATTATATGTAAATCCCACATGGGTGAAAACAATTATAGCAGCAACTTGGGCTTTGCCCCAGGCCATAAAAACATGTAGAGGGTATGGTACACGTACATGCATGTCTGCATGCTATTATAGTACCATATAGCGGTTTTTTTTCGAGGATAATAAATTTCGCGAATGACCCATATCTGGAAGTTTGCGGAATTAATTTTCGCGAATTTCCACTAATCTGCCATCTTGTGCTGTATTAAATTAATTTTCAAGGAATTTAATTTCGCGAATCATGAAAAATCCGCGAATTCGTGAATTTGCTATCCTCAAAAATTTCCAGCTATAAGGTATATATTACAAACATACAACCATACAATGTACATGTACTGCAGTGTATACATGTACATCCATCACACATCAGTATTACTCATACATGATGTATGTGATACTATTCATATACATTACATGAATACAATGCGCATGCATGTACATGTACATGTACATGTAAAAAAACAACTGAAACCATGGATAGAATAGAAAATCAATTCTAATTGACAATTTTATACTAACTACATGTATGACCGTCAGCTTTCAATCTACACACATTCTATAAAGGGATCTCTCTCTTTCTCCCTTACCTCTGATACTCAGGGTCGGTCATGTCATATTGTGTTATAGCTTCAGCAGAGAGTCTTTGAATGCGTGGCTTATGAAACGGCTCATCTAGCCATGCCGACTATAAATAATAATAATAAAATAGAAACAATGATAAACTACAACACACAGTACATGCACATATATAAAGTTTGTAGCCACTTTTTGGCAAGAGGACAATAATAGTCCATGGTCTCTGGCCAAAATATAAATTCTTCTCTATTCTCTTGTAATGTACATAAAGTACATAATGTACATGTACAATGTATGTACATGTAACTCATTCATTACTAGCTAAAAATTTGCGTTACATGCACAGTGCAACAAATCTATTTAATTAAAATGTAAAAAACCGACATGCAAAAGTAATACTTGATATCGTAAATGCACATGTATTACATTATACAATATAAATGTATGCTATTACATGTACATGTACATGTACATGTACATGTATATGTATACATGTAGGACATTATACTTACAATAACATGTACATGTACATGTGCAGTATATGTATACATGTAGGCATTATACTTACAATAGGTTCCTGTGCCTCTTGTTTAGGAGGTAAGTTCAACCCGTGCACTGAGAGTGGGAGAGAGAGAACAGCGCATAATTAATGAGTGCATACGCATGATAACAATATAATTATAATAATTAGTAATTATGATAAGAGATAACAATAATTGTAATGTGTGCACATGATACATGTGTACATGTGTAGGTGCAATTAATCATTAATCCTTCGGACTCTCATACACGTTTGCACTTAAATATTAAACTTTACATGTACGTGCACATGACAACGATGATGTACAATTGTTCATGTATTTGAATATACATGTACATGTACTCATGCAATGAAGACTAGCTTTCTTCAATTGTACTATGATCTTTCTCACTCTCAGACAGGAATGCAATAAAAATTGGGTTCCAATTGTTAGGCTGGGGCTGGGCTAAATGCTCTCTCTTTCCTTCTTACTTACTTGCAACATCAGATATTTGTCTGTCTATCTTATTATGATGCTTCACTGATGATATTCTCTTCATTTGACTCTCCTGTGAGAAGAGAGAAAGAGTGGGGAGGTGAACTCAATTTTTTAAAAAAGAAAAAAATACAAAAGCTTGATAATAAAAAGATAATGAAAAGAAGAAGAAATAGAAGAGTATGTAATACACACTTTTCTTGCCCCTGTATCATCCTCTTCATCAGGATCAGATGCTGACATCTTGGGTTTAGGAGATGGAGCTTCTAATACTCTTATGAGCGGAACCATCAATAAACCACTGAGATCACGATGAACAAACTCATGCTGAGAGAGAGAGAGAGAGAGAGAGAGAGAGAGAGAGAGAGAGAGAGAGAGAGAGAGAGAGAGAGAGAGAGAGAGAGAGAGAGAGAGAGAGAGAGAGAGGGGGGAGAGAGAGAGGGGAAGAGGGGAGAGAGAGGAAAGGGGGAAAGAGGAAAGGGGAAAAGAGAAGAGGGGAGAGAAGAAAGGAAGAGAGAGAGAGAGAGAGAGAGAGAGAAGAGGATGGGAAGGAGTCAAGGAAGAAGGGATGAAACATATACATAATGTCCATACATGCATATACCGTCTCCTACCATTACACATACATTCCATCAGCACTATTACTGCCTAATATGGTCCTCTGTTCCATAAACTAATTATACTCTCATTTCCCTTATACTACCAAATACTAGCTATCCTATTACAAACAGGTGAAATAGGGCACCAAATGATGTGCTGCACATACATGTACATGTACATGTCACGCCTACATGCATTTGTACATGCGTCTAGCCATATTGCACATCTTGTGGAACATTTTGTTGCATCTGACTGATTGGCTATAGTAAATTTATAATGTCCGTAATAATGTACTACATGTAGTAACTGATGCATGACACTACACTATGAACAAATAATGACAATTCATTATTCCATAGTTTTATGTACCCACACTCCATTACTGTACAAATAAAATATTCATATCAGTGTCCAGCTTACCTTGAGGAGGTCATCAGCATTTGGTCTGATCTTTGGATCCTTCTTCAGGGCTTGAGACAGGAAATCGTGAAAGTTGTTACTCCATTTGTTCTTGTGCTGCAAAGTAGGGGGACGGAAGTTACGCTTTGTCATTAGATAGAGAGCTCTAGAGAAAAAAGAAAAATAAATAATTTGCAACATATATACAGCACAACAAAAGAAAAGAGAAAGTTTACGATAGAAGAGGCAAAGGGAGAGAGAGGGAGAAAGAGAGAGAAAGAAATAGGAAATTAAGAGAAAAAAAAGAGAAAGGTAGATGACATGAGGTTGATGCTTGCCTCATAGGATGTAAGTCA